GCAGAGCTTAATGCGGTTAAATGACTTCCAGTTTGTTGAGGGGTGAACAGTGCGACAGTACTCTTGAAGTTTCCGTCTTCTTCAGAGAGTGGACTTTGCTCTGTAATTTTTGGAGAAATGTCTTTAGATAACGACAATGCTCTTTGGTCATGCTTTATGTTGTCATTCCAGTATTTGTTGAAGTCCTGGAGGTTTTTTACGCGATGGGTGCGCCAACTCCTTTGGCGGCGACGGCGGCTTGAGCAGCAACTTTCGATGCAACATTGTAAGTTTTAATCTTGAAGGAAGCCATTGGTTGTTGAAGGTTCATCGGAATGAGAGATGAAATGTAGAGAGGTCCCACTGGGCGTGCCAAAAAATCTGTAGACAAAAAATTGTGTTATTTTTAATAAACACAAAATTTGTAAAAATTATATTTGATTTGAATTTAATGCGGGTCTTATTTTCTAAATGGGTCTTTTGATTCTCTTTCCGGGTCAATTTGTTTTCCAACTTAGTTTTCAATGGCTTCTTTGATTTGAAGAGATTTGGTCTTCGGTTTGACTTTGCCGGACTTTGAAGGATTTTGGTCTCCGTGTAGGCGATTTGATCGTCGGCTTTTGATTTGATGTCCTCTTTGGACGATCGAGGCTTTGATCTTTGGTTTGACTTTACCGCTTTTGGAGGACTTTGGTCTCCGTGTGGGCAATTTGATCATCGGCTTTAAATTTAATATTTTCTTTAGACGATCCGTGGCTTTCATCTTTGGTTTGATTTTTCGCCTTTTGGAGAGCTTTGGTCTCCCTGTGGGCGATTTGATCATCGGCTTTGGATTTGATGTCTTTTTTGGACGATCTGAGGCTTTGATATTTGATTTGGCTTTTTCGCCTTTTGGATGGCTTTGGTCTCCGTGTGGGCGATTTGATCATCGCCTTTTAATTTGATGTCTTCTTTAGACGATCCGAAGCTTTGATATTTGCTTTTTCTTTGCCGCTTTTGGAGGACTTTGGTCTCCGTGTGCGCGATTTGATCAACGGCTTTGGATTTAATGTCTTATTTGGACAATCCACGGCTTTTTTATTTTTGCTTTGTCTTTTTCGCTTTTGGAGGGCTTTGGTCTCCGTGCTGGCGATTTGATCCTCAACTTTGAATTTGATATTTTCTTTGGACGATCTGCGGCTTTCATCTTTAAGGAGGTGGATTTGGTGCTCCATAACGCTTTTGGCGGTGTGTCCCTTTGACTTTTGGATGAAAGAGGGCCTGCTTGATGCTTTTGACGAAGAACGCGACGAACACCTTGAAGGTTTAGGATGAACTTGGATGCTCTTCATTGGCTTTGATGGATTCTTCAATGTCTTTTGGAGCTTTGATCCTTGAAGAGGTGGATTTGGTGCTCCATAACACTTTTGGCGGCGTGTCCCTTTGACTTTTGGATCGAAGAGGGCCTAGTTGATGCTTTGGTGAAGAACGCGATGAACACCTTAAAGCTTTGAGAGGAACTTTGAAGACCTTCCCTTGGCTTTGACGAATTCCTCAACAGCTTTTGGAGCTTTGATCTTTCCTCCGGCTTGGGCATACAACGAAGAACGTTAACTCCATCGATTCGTCAACAAATATTGGATCATTTGTCCAAATCAGTGACTTTCGACAAAGAATGCCTCGAAAGATTCGAAGAACATGAAGAATAATACATAGAGAGGCTAGAGACACGATCCTTCCATTTTCATCGGATGTCGTTTTTCATTCTTGAATGATTTGATTGCGTGTCTTCCTTTCTCACCAAGATCTTTATATCATTGTCTTTTTCCGAAAATATTAATTTATATACTTCCTTTATTGACAAGATTAATTTATTTTGCTGCCAAATTTTTTATGGCTCTATTTATGCACGTGATATTTGTACGATATCTTCCATTTTAAGCAGATTTTTGCATTAATTATTGATATTTATTGTACAAAAATTAACCTATGTGCATAACTAAATACCATATACTTATTTTATTGGAATTTTATTTTCTTCCAAAATACATGATATTTAATTTAATTTAAGCATTTAATTTTTAATGTCTACAGTAGATTAAGAAACAATAGTATTTTATTAGTTAGTGAAAGTTTTTAAAAAAATTTTGATATTTTTTTCCTTTGACTTCATGTATAAAGTAATTATATATGTAATAGTATGTTTGTAATTTAAATAAAAATTAAGGGTATTTCGATATTAGTGTATGATCATTTTTCTAGAGTAGGAAATGAATAGTTTGAAATGAGACAAACAAAAATGGTAAAAATTGTACTTTTAATTGGAATGAAATGGGTATATAATATGGATTCAGAAATTCCGACACTACTTAAATAGCCTCGAAATTTCCGAAGCCATTGAATATAATAAAATATATATTTAATATGTGGATTTTCTGAGACCAAAACAATTTAGTTGATATAACGAATACTACATATCTTTTTGCAATTTTGAAATTGATTTCGAGAAAATTTCTAAGGTGGAATTAGTTTTTTGTGGTAGTGTCTTCTATTTTATTTTTATTTTGGTATAATGAGTTATTTTGAAACTTAAAATTTTTTGCATTTACCTATGTTGCCATCGTTGCCGCTTCGTTGCTCGCCATCAGAAAGATCACCACCCACACTAGTTTTAGGGTACATTTATTTATTTCATCGTACCTATTCTAAGTCCCGATTTACAAATATCAGTATGGATTTGCGAGGGATTTAAATTCCTCGCAAATTTCCTTGCTAATATTTGTAAATTAGACAAAATCATTCAATAATACACTCACAAAAGGAAAATGAAGAGAAATTTTACAAGATAACAAAATTCCTTCGAAAAATTCTGATTGAGGGACAAGCATTTCCTTGTTTTATGTGTGTTTGGGCCTTGTGAGGGAATAAATCCCTCGCAAACACAATGAATAGCATTCTATTTTTCGAGTGAGTCACAAAATCCATCGCAACTGCGAGGGATCATATTATTCAACATCACTTAACATTTTATTTTTGTATTGGAAGATTGTTGCAGGGACTAGTTGTAACTTTGATGTTTGTTAATTCTTTTATCATTGTGAACATGGTGATACATTTTGTATTCATATATTGTAATTCCCATAGTCTCGAACGTTTTTAGAGCCCTAAGCAAAAATAGATTTTAGGTCCTATAAATAAACGATTAAATATATTTTTAAAATAATATTACTAACACTAATGTTGTTTTGGCCGTGTCGATTCGGGAGAAGAAGATGGAAGGTAGATTGGCGGTGCTTCACGGTGGTGTCCGGAGGTTTAAAAAATAAAAGAGACTGAGAAAATGAGAAAGAGAGAGGGACGGATTTGTTCTGGGTGGTGGGCCCGGTGCTGTGAAAGTTGAAGGGAAAAGATTTAGGTGACGATTAGATTTGGGAATATGAAATACAATATGGTTAAGAAGAAAAAATATATAATTATAGTTTAAAATTTAAAATTGAATCGAGTAATTCAGAAGAAAAAAAACAAACTAAAATTAATATTTTAATTTTAAAATTTAATAATAGTGATAAGATTATATTTTTAAAATATGAGCCTTGATTAGGGGCAAAGCAGTTGTTCATCTTCTGCTAAAAAGCCGCCCTGGCCCAAGATGTCGGTTTGATAACAAATTGAATCAAGAAATTTTGTATATCATTTGGTTTTTTTACACACTTGGCCAACCACAATTAACTCTTTAACGCACAGTTGTCGTAACTACTGCATAACCATGCATTTGAGAATTGTGTTATCCGTTTGTAGGTTCATAATTTTTACTCACATTGACTTTGCTTGACTTTTGGGTTCAAGAACGATCATCCAATTTCCAACAACACTATGATTTTCAATATCAAAGTTATTTCAAATCAATATATTGCGTGTTTATTTATTTTTATGTATTAACATTAAATAGAATTGTTCGTATAAGATTTAAATCTAAGTCTATGAAAAATTAATTTTGATTAATAGTTTATAATAATGAATTCTAAACCTCCACTAATGATGGAATAAATATCAAAACTAATGGCAAACTCAAAACAAGAATAATAAAATTGTGGGAATAATAATAAGTATATCGGGCAATAAAAACTACTTCTCTTTCATTCAAATTTATTTTTTATTTTTTATTTTTTATTTTTTTGTCATGTAAATTTATTCTATTTTGTTTTCTTAAAAAAATACTTTTTTTTTCTTCTTTTTCTTTACTGAAAAAGTAAAATTTTTTATTTTTTATCTATTTTTTTTAAAATTCATACGTGTCAAAGAGCATACCAATTGAATGACGTGGAGAGAGTTATCTTAAACAAAATCACTTTCTATAATATTTATTCAATAGATATTTTTATCAATACTTTATCTTTAAAAAAGAAATATAAGTTACACATTAATAGATATATAAATATTTATATACAGTGGCGTACCTAGAATTATATTCGAGGGAGGCTAATTTTGAAATTTATAAAATAATATATTCTATTTATAAATATTTATTTGTTATCCGAAAAAATTATCATTCTGATTATTATATTTTGAAAAAAATAAATACAAATAACGAACTACAATAATAATAATAGTTATACACTGTATTATAAATATTTTTTTTTATTCATTTTTATTCAAGATATACAATTTTTTAATATTTTTTTATTTATCCATTTTTCCTATATTACATATATTTAAATAAAAAAATAGATAAATTTAAATAAAAAAAAAAAAAAAAATTGGGGTGGGGTGGGGAAGGGGCTGCAGCCCACCCTTACCCCCACCTCGGTCCGCCCCTGTTTATACATATATATTAATGAATTCATAACGTCGTATGAATATTATCAATAGTATTATATATATATAATCCTAACTATATTTACCGTTTCTTTCTCTTCTCGTCCAACTCTATCCCTGCATTTTGTGCATATACTGTAACAGAATAAATCTTTTAGTATATATACATTACAAACGCAAAATTCTTCCTTCTGACTTCTTCGTTTTTGTGTGAAATCGGCGGCAGCCATGGGAGGAGGAGAAATTCACAAGGGATCATCATCGTTATCCAGTATTTTCTATAGAATCTGATTATGCTTTATTAAATTTGCTTTTTTGGTGTATTCCATAACATTTACGACTACCATACGTATATTTGTGCAGGCAATGAATCGTGTCGGAATCCAACTGCATATTTCTTCGATAGAGATGTGGAAACCATAATCCAACATGCTTCTGAAGAACAAGATCGCAAAATTTACCTTGAAGTTCTAAATACTTACAAGAATGGTCTGAATTTGGAGAAGCTCGAAGAAGCCAAGAGGAAGGTTTTGAGGTATATAACAATTAATAATAATATCATAACAACTATTGATAGATTGGCATTAATAACTCGGTGAATTATTACACAATTTGATATCGAATGTATTAATCCAGTTACACTCCCGGTTCGAGGATCGATAATTTTGATCACTCCAATTTCCCAAAGACCACATCGATCATTTTGGTAGGACCGAAGGGATCTGGCAAGAGCAGCCTTGTCAACAAAATTTCCGCGGCGCTTGAGGGCTACAAGCTCGGTTTGTGTCGAGCACAAGTATCTTGTATGTCTTCTTTTGGCCAAAATCTAAGGTTTTTACTATTTGGACTCTGAGTTTTTTTTTTTTTTTAAAAATAAAAATACACTTTTTCCTCTTACAAAATATCCCATCATACATTATTTTAATATTAAACCCAAACCAAATTTTTTTCAAAACATATATCATGCTTTGAGGGATATTTTGAGATTTGAAATAAGAAATGGTAAAAAATCTCTTACTCCTTAATTCAAATCTATGTTTACTTTCTTTTTCATGTTAATAATTATTACTCATTTTTATTAAAATTCGTATTCGATCAAACGTGCACACATCTGGATGATAGAGGAAGTATTGTTTAATATGATATTTGCTTGATGATATATATCTTTTTTTTCAAAATATTATTGTAGATAAATAGTGTCACAAGTAAATAATAGTATATATAAGTGATAGGGTTGAATTAATGTTGGTTTTGATAGATAATGGATCAAGCGAGAATGGAACTTATTTTCTTCACGAGTTTATGGTTCCTCGGAGTTCAAGTTCCATATGCTTGTACGATACGCGTAGTTTGTCCGAAGATGTCTCTGAGAACAACGAGATGCTTATCGGATGGATGACAGGCGGCGTTTGCCACGGTGAATTAGTTCAAAAGTAAGAGACACTAGTTTTTCTCTGGCTTGATTTTAATATAACTATTGGATGATAATATCGATCTTTTTTTGTATAGGAATTCTGATACTATCGATTTAAACAATCGCCTACGAGCCAAAGCGAGGCATAATCACAGATTGGGCAAACCTAGGGAAGTTAACTTTGCCATATTGGTTGTGAATGCTGTTGATGTTTTAAAATCCATTTCCGGTGAAGATGAAAGCTTCAAGAATTATTCGCAACTGATAGCTACCACTTTCAACAATCCGTTTCTATCTTTCAAAGGTGTTCATCATTCGACAAAGTACTTCAATTTCTTTATTGAATTCGAGCCTTTATTTCTTCGAATGACTATAATGCTCTTCATGTTTATTTTAATGGTAGATGACAAACCTGCGATTGTAATTACACACGGCGATCTACTCTCTATTGAAGATCGTGTGAGTGTCCGTCTTTATTTGGGAGATGTGATGCAAGCTCATCCAAAAACTCAGATTTTCGATATTCCGGGTACAAAGTTGGTTTATTATTTATTAGTACAACATACGTACTTTGCAACAAAGTGATGCTGTAATTTTGGTGTTTAATTTGCAGATGATGAGGATTCGCCCACAATATTATCAGTATTCGAAATGTTAAACTACTGTCTTGATCGCGCCGATAGAAATCTTCTGTCCAAACAAATGATGATACCGACCATATCACTTTTTTCTTCTATGCTCTTTGTGTTGATGTTGACAACAACTTACATGCTCAAGTAAAAGAGGAACTTTGTTGGTCTACTAAGGAATACTTGGTGGTAGTGTGGTGAGTGAACTTGTGACTACGAGGAAGTTTGTTTGGTTTTATTTATCTTTTTTCTTATCAAATACTCCCTCTGTCCCGCCACATTTTAATTATAATTAAATGGGACGAAGAGAGTATAAAAGTAATAAAATTAATTCATAAAAAAATATGCTATAGGCGTAAATCAAAATACTAAAATAAAAGATAAAAACGAACCGATGAAATAGGAAAATCAATGACCATAAATAGAGTTTCCATTCAACTTTCGAACACTAAAATCTATTGTAAATTTTGTCTATAATAATATATAAATAAAAATAGTTGTTTGATTTGATGTATAATTGATATATTAATCATTTTAATTGATATTTTAAAACTTTATAAACAATCTATTAACAAATATATAAATCATAACAAATATAAAAATCCATACTTCCTCCGCGGTAATTAGAAGTATCATTTTTTACTATTTTCGTATATTACCTGAAAATATCATTTTTATATTATGATAAAAATAATCACATATTAATATAAAAATATATTTAACTTTTATATAAATTACAAATATACAAAACAAAAAAACATATCAAAATTATCTTACAAATTTTTAATAACCAATAAATACTAAAGTGTTTTTTTGTGTTCCAAATACCGTGCAATATTTTTTTTTTTTTTTTTGTGCAATAGAGGGACTATTTGCTTTTTTTCTTGCATTTTTCTTCAAATTCTAACATAAAAATGGGCTGCCTCGTCGTCTTCATTTTGAGATATGTGTATTATTTGCATTTGTATTTTACATTTAAATAAAAAAAAAACTATATAAAAAAGAATTTACATTTAATTAAATAATAAATGATAAAATTAATACTCCCTATGTCCAACTCTAATATTTATATTTATTTTTTGTACAAAATATTAATATATTAATAATAGTGGACAATATAATAGAGTAAAGATCAAATTATTCTTACTTTTAGATATAAGATTATAATAAAGTAAGAGTAAGATGATAAATAAGTGTAAAAAATATATTAGTAGTTAGTAGCAGAGTCCACCGTTACTAAAAAAAGAAAATGTATACAGTTGAATTGGATGGACGAAAATACAATTTAATTATGATAAATTTATAAAATATAAAATTATAAATTATAAATACCTTTACTATAATAGGATAGTGCATGTATTGCCATAACAATTTCAATATACCGATAGTGGCTTTCAGCAAAAATAGCTCCGGTGTCTAGTGATTCACGACAAGAAATGCTTCGATAGCTTTTCGATACACTTTTAAACAACCAACAACAACATCATGCAACATCTTCCGTTTGATAGTCTTTCAGCAACCAACAACACCACCATCATAAGAAGAATTACACCAAAAGTATCAGAAAGTAAGATATATATCTAAACACTTATATATGACTAGTGGTATGAATGACTACATGAAATATCGTATTGACCCTTACTATTTTTTGGTGCAAGTAGATGTGTGTGCTTCGGCCGGTTGTACGAAAGTGTAATATTGTGTCACTATATGTGTAAAGTTGTAAATTCCTCGTGGCCCGTGGTTTTGCCCGACGAAATAAGGCTTTTTTTAGTGTTTTTTTTTTTGTTTTCGCTCCAAAACTGAAAGATTTGCAATGACTGATTGCAACAAAATATATCAATATGTATATCAATTTGTAGAACATAATATTTTCTTTTATACAATAATTCTTGCAAAAACCAAAAGTGATGATCTTGAAAGAAAATGAGCACTCTGTAGAAAATTAATTGGCCGATGCAGTGGAGAACAGGCCAATTGCCCGTTTTGCTTCATATGGAAACTGCCTTGGGCATTTCCCCTCGTCTCGGAGATGGGCTAGCCCCCGTGGTTTATTATTCCTCACGTTGTGTTTTCACTGCCCAGAAGTTCGCATCCTAATATTTCCCGTATGTGGGTTCTCAGGCAACTCAACTGCTTGAAAGCTTTGTTATATTTGGAAATCATTACCACTGTTCGTAGGTTGCCTGCAACGAATCTGTTTTTGGAAGCATTCTCATCCCTCGTTAGGAAACTCAATTTGTGTATTTGGTGTTGGTGAAGAACGTGATAAACATTTTGAAGCTTTGGGAGGAACTTTTGAGACCTTCCTTTGGCTTTGACGAATTTTTCAACGGCTTTGGAATCTTTGATCATTCATCCGGTTTGGCATACGGCGAAGAACGTTAATTTCATCGATTCATCAACTAATATTAAATCATTTGTCTAAATCGGTGACTTTTCAACGAAAAACGCTTCCAAGGACACGAAGAACATGAAGAATAATGCAAGAGAGTGTAGAGAGACTTTCCCCTGTAGGAGTTTTCAAATGAATTTCGAGGTGTCAAATGAATTGGCCATGACCCCTATTTATAGGAGATAAGTGACCTCAGCTTCTTTTTTTAATGATGTCACGTAGCGCGTCCTGATTGTCCAACATGAATATTTTATAATTTTTCATTTGCTATCTGATATCGTTTTTTATTCTTGAAAGATTTGATTGTGCGTCTTCCTTTCTCGCCAAGATCTTTATATTATTTCATTTCTCGGAAGATATTAAATTAAATACTTCCTTTATTGACGAGATTAATTTATTTTGTTGTCAAATTTGTTATTGTTTTATTTATGCACGTAATATTTATACGACATCTTTCATTTTAAGCAGATTTTTGCATTAATGTTTGGTATTTATTATACAAAAATTAATATATGCATGATTAAATATCACACATTTATTATATCATAATTTTATTTTCTTCCAATATATCTTATATTTATTTTAATTTAAGCATTTAATTTTCAATACCTACACCTATGAATAACATGATCAAATAATTTAATCTTTTCATAATTTATTGAATATTTAAATTGGGTTTTTCTCGTTCTATTTTCAATTGGAGAAATTAATTTATACTCGTACCTAAATTATTTCTTTGATTAGGGATGTGGTCATTTGGTCGTACCGTTTCCGCCAATATTGTAAGGAAAAATTGGGTATTATGATTGTATCTAATGTCTATAACCAATTTATCAATTAAATAGCAAGGTTATTAAAAATTGATGATCGAATCTTTAATCCGGTTTCTTATTCACTCATTGGACTAGAAATTTTATCGCTTTGGAATCTAATTTTTATTTCTTGTCGTTTATTTTAATTACCTTAGTTGAATTTTCTAACTACCCCCAATACTTGAAATTGTGACAAAACAAGAATTAAACCCCATAGTCCATATGATCGACCTCGTCATCATTCCCTACATGACAATTGTGATGTTAGAATTATTTTATTAGAAGCACCGAGGCTATCAACTATAACAATTTTTTCACAATAATTACATAAAATAAGGGTATTTTAATCTTTTAAAATACTTTTACAATATGTTTTAATATAATACTAATATTTCTTAATTCAGGTAGTAATCCCAAATGTATTTATTATTTTGGGACAGAGGAAATATATAATATGGATATCATTTTGTAAATAGTAAACTTTTATATAATACAATAAAATATATATATATTTATTTATTTCTAATTAACTTAAATTGTTTTATAAAAATATTGAGTTTTAAATATAAATATAAATATTTGCTTATGGAGGATAGATTAATAGAAAGGGTTTTGAGTAGATCTTATGTAATAAATTAAGAATTTAATTTAATTTATTTATATTTATTAAATATAATTAAAATTGATAAAGTGACAAAAAAATAGAAAAAAAAAGTCATTAGTTATGAATGGACAAAAGATGAAAATAGATCATTTATGATAGGATGAAAAGAATATTACTCCCTCCGTCCCAGCTACCGTGTCTCATTTACTATAGATATAAAAATTTATGAGGGGTATAATTAGTAAATAATTAAAAATGTATTAGTGAAAATAATTATCATATGATAAAAATAATTTTAGATTAAAATTAAGATAACTAATTAGTTTAATTAAAATTAAAAAAATTAAAAAGTAAAATATTTAAAATGAGATTAAAATGTATAATTCTTTTCCAAAAACGAAAGTGACAGAATAAGTGGAACACACGAAAATAGAAAGGTGGACACGGCAAGTGAGATGGAGGGAGTATATATATACATATGACTAAGGGTGTGTTTGACAATTAGCTGATAGCTTTTAGCTGATTCAATTAGTTGTTAGTTGTAAGTTGATTCAATTAGCTGGTTTGACTAGCTGATTCAATTAGCCGTTTGTATTAAAGTGTTTGGTAAAACAACTGTTTGGCATTAGGTGTTTATACATAAAATAACTATTAAGGACATTGATATGTTATTTTTTAAAATATTTAATTTTGTTAATTTTTGTTTGAAATTTATGAGAATTTTTGTTATTAATTATTGAAAATTATAAAAATATTAAAAAATATTTTTTTATTTTTTTATTATTTAGATTTGAAAAAATTATTTTTACTAAAAAAATAATAATTTTTATTAAAATTATGTAAAATATAAAATAATAAATCTTTCGTATATATATTTTTATTATTTTAATTATTGTTTAATATATATAAATAAATTAATACTAACCTTTGTTTTTTCTATTTGATTTAGTTTTAAAAATTTATATATTTTACAAATAAAATAGTTTATATGTAATAATTAATAATAGTAATTATTTTAAATTTATAAAAATAAAAATATAATTTAATAAATTAAATATATTAAAAATAATTAATAAATACTGCTATAAAAATATATTTATATGTATAAAATAAATAATTAAGTTTTAAGGGTAATTAAGGAATAACCAAAATTAAAATGCTTTTGGATCCAAAAAGCTCTTTGAAAAAACTAATTTACCAAACACCTAAATTAGTTTTTTGACTGATCAAACAGGTTCAATAAACTAAAAAATTTTCAAAAAGCTATTTCCCAAACACCCTCTAAATATAAATCTAATTCTAAAAGTGTATTAAACTTGGGGTCCATTTAATCAACAGCCACCGTCTTCTTCATCCAAGCAATCGATGCTGTGTCTTTTAGTTGAAAGATTTATAGAATATGATCTTTTACATAGGGTGTGTTTGTTTGGGATTTGGATTTTGAATTGGGATTTAAATAGTAAAAATTTTGAATTTGAATAGTTGTATGATGTGATATAAATAGGTGTTGATGTGATGTTTTGAATATAAAATTGATTTTTAGTATAATATATAAAATGAAAAATAAATGTTTAATTTGATGTTTTTTTAGAGAAAAAATTGAGATGAATAGTGAATTTTTAGTACATATTTTCTTCGTCCGCCTTTAAAGGTCGCATTTATTTTTTTATGTGTTGATATTTGAATATTAACTATTATATCAAAACATAATACAAATTAAGGAAAATATAATGATATTTGTACAAATAATTAAATAAATACAAATATATATTTAACACAAAGATAAATGTAACCTTTTAAATAAGGATGGTCAAAATTTTATAATTATTATTATTTGTTAACGTGAAAACCGGCGGCCGCTATTCGAAAATGCGCGTCGAACTTGATACCCTACAAACTAAGCTGGACAAGACAAATAACACTAGACAAAATATGTATGACAAGTAGACCTAGAAGCACCTCACAATTACAAATTCACTCTCCATCATGCCTTACTGGACAATTTATTATTCTTATTTTAATAAATAGTGACTAACTTGTTCCTATTTTTTTTATTTATCCTCTTACTTTTTATCAAATCTTTTAATGAATAGTCTCCTTATCTAATCAAACCTATATAATTTTACCAACAAAGAAAAATTTCCTGTATAGAAATTGCCAATAGTGATCTTGTTTCATAGTCATTGGTTATATATACAGAGAGACGGATCTCCATGGGAATAGGGACTCCCAGCCAGCACCCAAAATTTATTTATATTTTGTAATGTAAAATAATTAAATTTTTATATAATTATGGCAAAATTATCTCCCATAATTGTAAGTTTATCATCCTATAATTATTCATTCCTTCTGTTGTACCCATTGTTATTATGGTAAGAAGAATTGAAGTAGGCGGCATCAAAACAGTAGAAGTAAATCGGGCATTTTATGCCATTCTGTCCGGGCGCCGATTTACTTCACAAGAATTCACAGGCGTAGCGTAATATTATAAACTGTTTTATGATTCAAGAAAAAAGATAAGTTACAACAGGTTTTCATGTTTCATTTGAGAGTGACAAATTGAGCAGAGGAGACCTATATATGTTACAACATTCCACATATATAATACACTAACCTCACTGTGAGCTGGCTTACTTCAAACCATCAATCGAACCATCCCCGGCTTGTCGCAGTTCGAATAATCTGAAACAGAGCTGGAAAAGTGAAAGCAGAATAAGATTAGATCAAAACAACATTCAAGAATCATCAATAATTGCTGAGAAAAATGATTTAAAGATGGCGACATAATGTTATCCTGGAGCGGAAACAACACTTTTGACTCTGTGCATCACTGGTTTTACAAATGAACACAAAACCGGCCAGGTATAAGGCAGGAGTGTTTGTATATTTTAACTAGTTTTCGCACTATGCAATCTCTAGAGAAAAAAATAAAATAAAATAAATTATACAAAATTATACAAAATATTTCATCCTAAACATTGTTTTTTATTCAAAACATCACATCTAATACTTACTTTCAATTTAAAACACGATATTATAATAAATAAGCAATAACGGTAGTGAAAATGCAAGGCAAGACACAAAATTTGGTAACTTAATTAGATCAAACTTATCTACGTCTAGGGTGTCTAGGGTGTTGTCAAACCAATAATTTTACGTGTCTGTTTGGAGGATTCTCCCCCAATTTTACTATTCATCCAATTTTCCTTCCTCTTAAAAAATATCAAATCAAAACACCTATTTTTTATTTTTTATGTTATGCTAAAAATCAATTTTGCATTCAAAATATCACATCAATACCTATTTATATCACATCGTACAATTATTCCAATTCAAAATTTTTACTATTCAAATTACAACTCAAAATCCAAACCCCCCAAACTAGAATTGCGTTTAATAGAAAGTGAAAATATACGTATATTTATAGGATAGAAACTTGGCCCACAACTAGACAAGCCAATAACAGCCATAACATAACAACCAAAATTATTTTTCATTTAAAATTTCTCTTAAAAACATCCCAAAACATCCAAACACAACCAAAATTTGCATTATCCTTTTTTTTAAAAAAAAACAAAAAGAGGGTTGTCCAAGCAAGCCAACCCTATTAAGTTTCCACAAATTATGTCCGCCATATGTCTTGATAACCATATAGCACTAACCGGCAAGGGCTAGTGTGGCATATTTAGCCAACCGACCCTTTTTATGATGGTAGCAAAGAAATAGACTGTAAACACATTTGAAACATTAGAAAAGCATTTTAAATAAAAATCTACTCACATGATCCAACAATGACAAAAATGAAGAATCCAAGCACAATAGGGCCCACGGGATATGAACTGCCTTTCTTTTTTGTTTCAGCCGATGCACCTCTCTTGCTTATGTTCTTCTCGAACTTCATCACCTTCCTATCTGCCAAACGCCTTGATGTCGTCTAAAGAGTGAAGAAAAATCATGTGAATTAGCATTAACAGAGAAGACACTGGAAAACTGAGTTTGCATTTCATTAACCATTAAAACATCATAAAAGTGTAACATTAGGCTTTTGGTGGTACCGGAAAGAAAGATTTTCGATGAAATGCAACACACTAGGTAGAGTCTTGGTGGTAAAATCATTCTCCAACAAAAAATAAGTGCAACAAAGTCGAATTTTATTTTTCTTTCAACTGAATGATATTTACCCCCGTTAAGAGAAAGATCACAAGGACAAAAGATATTCTTGCTTGGGGTGAAAAAGGGATTTCTGAAAACACAATTCGATATTTCATATTACATGTCTAAAACAATTAAGATGCACATTCAGGATTCACAGACCAATCAAATTAAAATCAGTAGATCAGTAGTTTTAAATCACACTAGGTTCAGAGTCGGTGTCTCAGTATAAAGGCTACATGATCTGGAACCAATTTCAAAGTCAATTCAGTGATTTAATCGAGTTTATAATTATGTTTTCTAATTACTAATCAATATAGGTTTGTACATCAAACATACCACTGAATTAGTATTTCTGCAATACTGTAAAGTTGAAAAACTCCATTATCTATTTTTGACATATGGACAAAATAAATTCTTATTGCTGTTGTCGTCAGAACCCATAAACAGCAACATTGACCCAGCCTATGCGGTCCCATCAACAACAACCTTGGATTGTGTTTATTTGGCTTTCCTAGGATGGTATGTTTTCAAAACAAAATGGACAATTTAGGTTCGTCCTCTTTTGTTCAGAAGTATATAGAAATGCACTATTCCTTTTTTATACCAAGGGAATTAATTGCATGTTGCAACAAGCCTTTCAGTGGCTGCCTTACACAGCTCGAGATTAGAATAGTGCAGTGTGAAGGTTTTTGCGAGTGTGTATAGTGAGAGAAAAAGTGTATCAATCCTCTCAACCCAAAACCTTCATTTCTCCATGTATTGAATGAGTGTTAGACACTTTTATCTCACATGAAAGTCGCCGGATGAAGGAGAAATCTGAGTTCCGATCAAGGAAAGCATCCAGATTCTGAGCAGCTGTGCTATTTAGCGGTCGTCAGTATGCGCTTGTGACGACGTATACCTGTGGAGTAGTTTTTCCTAGGTAACCAGTATAGTTGTATGGTTGAAGAAGTTTTGGTTGTTTTTGTTCTTAATAAGCACTGATTAGTGAACTACTCCCGGATTGGAATCCCCCGGATGTAGGTTGGTTATAACTGAACCGGGTAACCAAATGTCTTGTCATTTATTGTTTTGGCCACTGCATTTATTTCGTTGACAAGTTGGTGGTATAACTGTGATATAACTACGCTTCGGGAGTTGGCCCTTGAATAGGTGTTCAAAAGTATATTGGTGCAGCACCTATTCTCCCAACATTTGGTATCTGAGCAATGTTCTCTAAGTTGTTGAGTAGGTCCTTTCACAGTTGCAAAGATGAGCAAGGAAAAGGTCGTTCAACGTCAAGACCTCCATTGTTCAATGGGACAAGCTATCGAAGTTGGAAAAACAAAATGGAAGTTTTTTTTATGTTATAAGGTGAAGATGTTTCTGATGCTGTCGAATTTGCATGGTCTCATCCCATGAAGACCATCCAAGATGAAGATGGTATTAACTCTTGTGAATAAACCAAAAAAGACTGGACTCTAAATGAAAAAGCTGCCAGAATCGCCAACTCAAAAGCTCTTTTTTCGATCTTTAACGCTGTAGATGAAACTCAGGCGAAGCTGATATCCAACTGCAAAATTGCCAAGGAAGCTTGGGACATTCTGGAAAATGCATTCGAATGATCAGTGCAAGTTCGAGAACCAAAACTGGAATATATTGAGACATTGTTCGAAGGGATGAAGATGAATGAAGATGAAACAATTGTTGTTTACTATAATTGATTTATGGATGTTGTAAATCAAGTTGAAGCTCTTGGAATGCACTTTGAAAAGAAGAGGTTGGTGATGAAGATGCTTAAAAGTCTCACAAAAAATTTCATGCCAAAGGTGATCGTGCTCGATGAACCGCCAAAGTTGAAAAACATGACTTTGGATGAACTGTATGGCACATTCGTGAGTTATAAAATGAACTATCTTGAAGATGGAACTCCTAAAAGTATGGCGTTAAGTGCTGAAGATATGGAGCTGATTGAGTCTGATGAGGAAATGGTTCTGCTAAGTCGACAACTTTCAAGATAGATAGGTGAGAAACAAGCTGCCAAGCTAAAGTATGGGAAGTTTCATAACAGAAGTGGCAATAAAGACGTGAATACATCCAATTCACAACGAAAATACCCAAAGCAGAAACCAACTACTTACTGCAAACCAAAAGAGAAGTTCGATGGTGGATTCAAGAAGTTTGTGGTGTCTGCAAAACCTGAGACAGCTCAAGAACCTACATGCTATGGATGTGGTGGTGTTGGACATATTAAATCAGAGTGTCCAACGGTAAAGAAAAGAGAAAAAAAAATTTACCAAGCTATATGGAACGACAATGAAGAAGGTGAATCTGCTGGTGGTGAAGAACGGACTGAAAATGATGAAGTGGTGGCATTTATGGCAAGTGTTGATGAAACCATTAATGAGAAGGAAGAATCCAGCTCTAAAACTTCTGATGACTCAAGGGAAATTGATATTGAGGAGTTGATCGAAGCTTATGAGAAGATGGTAGTCGAACAAAAGAAAGCTGTGGTGAAAAATAAAGAGCTGCTCGAAACAATATACCGTCTAGAAGATCAAAAAGAAAAGCTTGAGGATGAACTTAAGAAGTTGAGAAAGATTACTAATGATAAATCTGTTGAATCAGATAAATTGAAGTCAGAAAATCTGAAGTTGAAGGATGAAAATAATAGACTTCGGAAAGGAAAGGAAAATTTAGATGAAGTCTTTTCAATTGGTAAACCATTTGGTGATCGTTTTTGTGAATCTTCTCAAAGTAAACCAATTACATTTGTGCGTGGTGGTCTGCTGACTGATATCAAACTTCCAGAGAAGAGATCAACACAAGTCAAGAAACAGAACCCAAGGAGAGCAGAAGCAGAAACTGGAACAAAAACCGCAGGAGAACTCAGAATGACAGATCGAAGTTATAACAACCTACTGACTGCAAGTGTTGCATGTATCTTGGTCATTCGGCTGAGAAGTGCTTCAAGCTGGCAAAGGATGTTATCAACAGAAGGCAAACAGAATATCAAAGTCAAATTGGTATGGATGCCTAAGGAAGCTCAGAAACAGCCAGAGTCCAATGTGATCTTGTCAAGGCAAGAGTCTACTCGAGCTGATCAATGGTACTTTGATAGTGGTTGCTCTAGGCATATGACTAACCAAAAGGGACTTCTGAAGAATTTTGTTGAAGACCGAAGTGGAGATGTTATTTTTTGTGATGGTGCAAAAGGAAAGATCAGTGGTTATGGTGTTCTCGAAAAAGAAGGGATTCCAAGATTGTCGAAAGTCTATTTCATAGGACTTAGTACGAACCTGATCATTATTAGCCAACTCTGTGATGATGACCTGCATGTGAAGTTTACTAAAGATTCATGTGAAGTATATGATGCCGGACAGAAATATGTGATGACTGGTGTTCGATCAAAAAACAACTGCTATCTATTGGAATATCCTCAAATGGAAGCATTGATATTGAAAGATGATGAATCTATGTTGTGGCATACCAGATTGGGTCATGTCAATCCACAGAACCTGCTGAGGATCAACAAAATTGGAGCTATCAGAGGATTACCCAAATTCTCGAAGATGCCGAGTACTATGTATGGTGACTGTGCAAGAGGAAAACAAAATAGGGTTGTGCATTCGTCGTTGGAACAATGCTTTAGCAAGAACTGTCTGGAGCCACTGCATATGGATCTCATGGATCCAGTTGATGTTTGTAGTCTTGAAGGTAAGAATTACATTGTGGTCTGTGTGGATGACTTCTCCAAATATACTTAGGTTGATTTCTTGCGTGAGAAAAGTGATGCCTTTGATGCCTTTGAAAAATTGGGTACACGACTCATGAATGAGAAAAAATCAAATATTGATAGACTAAGAGCAGATCACGGAAAAGAGTTTGAAAAACCGAGATTTGTTGTATTCTGCAATGGATTGGGAATTAAACATGAATTTTCTGCCCCAAAGACTCCACAACGGAACGGAGTAGTGGAGAGGAAGAATCGAACTCTACAGGAGATGGCTAAGTCGATTATGCATGCCAAGAGAGTCGCCAAACATCTATGGGTTGAAGCTATTAATACAGCTTGTTATGTGATCAATCGAGTTTATCTCAGACCTCATACAGAGAAGAAATTTGGACAAGGAAGAAGCCAAATGTTTCTTACTTTCGTACATTTTGGTGTAAGTGTTATATTATGAAGGACAGGGATCAACTACATAAGTTTGAAACTCGATCAGATGAAGGCATATTCTTGGGATACTCTCTGAATTCAAGAGCTTACAAAGTGTTCAACAATCGTATTAAGAAGGTGATGAAATCTGTGAATGTGATATTCAATGATACTATTTCTGAGAAGAAATCTATACATTCAAGTGATGATGATGATGATGCTACAGAGTGATTCAGAATCCTCCAGATGTTCAGAACATTCCCCAGATTCAGAATGATCTGCCTCAATCAGGTGACAACAATGCTACAAAAAGTTATGTCATATTTGATTGGTCAGAACCGGAATGTTCAAGAGATGATACCATAACCAACCAACAATCTGCTGAGACTGAATCTGATGCAGAAATGAGAAGATATGGTTCCAGAGTTCCACACAACCATCCATTTGAAGCAGTCATTGGTGATCCAAAAGGTGGACGATTAACTCGAGGTAAACAGATTGATTGCAAGAATCTGTCTGGTATAAATTGCTTTATTTCCACAGTTGAGCCAAGGACCGTGGATGAGGCTCTCAAGGAGTAATACTGGATCAATACAATGCAAAACGAGTTGAATCAGTTCACAAAGAATCGTGTTTGGTAT